TTAATCACTATGCTTTAATTATGTTCAATTTGTAACAATGAAATTGGGGGTCACCACAACATGAGGAACTGTATTAAAGGGTTGCGGCATTAGGGAGGTTGAGAACCAAGTGAACAAAGCCAGCCATTTTGAAGAATTCTAAGGGATAGTAGCCAATGGTGGGTCTTCTAATTAATCTCTTCTTTAGATTTTGCTTTTATTCTTAAAGGACTTTTGATATGGATTATGTTTTAAAAGATTTTAGCCCTGGCTGGGTGGCTCAGTAGGTTGGGTGTTGCCCGGTACACCAAAAAGGTTGTGGGTTCAATTCCCGGCCGGGGCACATGCCTAAGTTGCAGGTTGGATTCCATGCTGGGGCACGTATGGGAGGCAGCCAGTCGATGTTTGTCTCTCACATCAATGTTTCTCTCTCTCCCTCTCTGTAAAATCAATCAAACAAAACAAAAACAAAACATATTCTCTGGTGAGGGTTAAATAAAATAACAAAAATAAAAAGATTTTATATTGGTAGAACTAATATATTATTTATGGACATACATTTATAAGTTTGAAAAACAAACTTTTCTTCCTAAAGTTTTAAAAGTAAACAGAATAAAAATTAAGTCCTCAGCCCTAGCTTGTCTGGCTCAGTGGATAGAGCATCGGCCTGCGGACTGAAGGGTCCCAGGTTCGATTCTGGTCAAGGACACATGCCCAGGTTGTGGGCTCAATCCTTTGTGGGGCATGCAGGAGGCAGCCGATCAATGATCCTTTCTCATCATTGATGCTTCTATCTCTCTCTCTCTTCCTCTCTGAAATCAGTAAAAATATATATTTTTAAAAACGTGAGCCCTCAGTGATTTCCAGTGAGAGGAGGGTAGATAGGAGCACCCAGAGCCCGTTCTGATCCTCTGTGAAAATATTCATAACATCCCGCAGTGGACATATCACTGTGATCCCGATGGAGGAAACAATCGTGTCATCTTTGTAGCATGCATCCATGTATGGAATCCATAAATTTAAGGACACACACATACCCCTTCGTGCCCCAGGGTCAGGGCTCAGCCCCGGCCTCGGCCTGCTCTGTGGTCCCGGCCTCTGCCGGAGATGCCCACGAGCCATCCACCATCGCTCCCGCTGAGCGGGCCTCTCAGTCCCCCAGGGCAGACTCAGAAGGTCAGGATTAAAATCCAGCCCGTGCCTCCTGAGCAGTCCCCCGTAAGTGCCACACACCTTCCAGCAGTGACAGGCCCCGGACAACAGAACTGCGCGCCACAGTGAACGAATGGCCAGGGCTGCACGGGACATCCGCAGGGCGGCGGGCGGCGGGCTGAACTGAAATCCAGTTTAACGCAGCGCCAGCCCCTCCGGGTCCAGAGGGGAGGGGACAGTGTGCCCGAAGCTACCGGAGGAGCAGCGAGGCCAGACTGGCCTGGGGACAGAAGGCGCAGTGTCTGCAGAGGTAGGAGGACGGGGTGGAGCAAAGGGGCCAGGGACGCCGGGGAGGCCCTGCGGGGACTTTAGTGGGGAGCCACCACGGGTCGGAGCCAGGCGAGGGGAGAAGGGAAGTAGGAAGGCAAACATAGCGCAGGGAGCCCAGTCAGGGCTGTGGCCGTGACCCAGGTAAAGCAGCCGGCCTTAGGCGAAGCCGATGCTGAGCGAGGTGTGGGCTGTGGATGCGATGAGGACTTGGTTGGAGTCAGAATCAATAGGGTTGAAGAGGGATTAAACACAGGATTTGAAGGAAGACAATCATGATGACCCCTGTTTTTTGGGGGGTGGGTGTCAGGAGGCTGAGAGAAGTCAGCTTCGCAAGGTCACCCGATCCTGCTGACGAGAACAGAAAAGGAACTGCAGCCTGAGGCGAAGTGAAGGTCACCGGTGCTGTGGGCAAAGGGACTGCAGCGAAAGGAAGGGAAGGGGGGAGGAGAGAGCAGGGGCGTGAGGACCCACCGACACCCCCACTGTGGAAACTGGTGAGAAGGGAGCAGGAGGTGGATGGAACTCGTCAGAAAAATGAAAAATGCATCAGCTCCCAGTTGTAAATGGGTTCCCCAGCCCTGGGCCAAATTCATCAACTGAAACAATATTATAGCAATAGAAATGGAACCCTAGCCGAAGGGCAAGGAGAAGAGAAAGTTACGCATAAAAATACCACCCTGTCGCCATCAGAACACTACCTATAGGGTTTAAAGAAGTTTGTGGCCTCAGAATACAATGGCACGTTGTTATTCCAACGTTAAGGCAACAGATATGCAGGGAGAACAGACAGCCACAGCATCGAAGCGCAGGCCAGGACAAGACCTCACAGAAGACAAGTGTTGGCAGGAGAGGGCGGCTGTGGTCAGGGAGCTGGGAGTTAAAGACAGAGGCCACCATGGTCTTTCTCTCTCTCACTCAGTCTTTCATTCAATTTGCTGTCTCGCAATTGTTCCCTGGTCTTCCCTCTCCCTTCATCCTCTCTCATATTGCTTTTATTTTATTTTTTTCAAAACTCTTGAGAATAAGAATCATGTGTGTGCCCAATATTTGTTTTCTGAAGATGCATTTAAAAATGGGAGGAAAAAAACAACGGTAGCTCTAAGCTGAGTAGAAGAGACGCTCTTTAAACCTGATGACAGGGGAAGAAAGTAAAATGATGTGAAGGACAAACAAGTTATACCCATATTTATATTAGATCCGACTGGGCCAAACTGCATCAGTGATGATAAAGACGATGAGGAATGGAGATGCAGGGAACAGTTCACCAGGCGATTATAATAATGCCGAACCTCGAGGTGCCTGACAACATAGCCTGAGAGGCAGTCCCAGGTGTGAAGCAGCCGGTGAAGACAGCCTCAGAACGTACCAGCCGCAGACCGCAGGCAGGTGGCTGACCCTCTGTGGGCTCAGCTGCCCCATACTGAACATTGGGGTAGTATAGAACCTACCTCTTCCTGCTCAGGAGGATTAAATAAGTGAATACACACAGTATTTACAGCACCGTCTGGTTGATAAACACTGGCATTTTTACTGTTGCTGTTATTAACATGGTTAGTATTGTTGCCTCAAACCACACAAAGAAAAAAGAAATTAACAGAATCCCAAGGAAAATTTGACATGTCAACAATCTTACTAGGAGACTTTTCACTTGCTTTCAGAGCAAGATAAATATGTTTTAAAGTGTTTGAGAGAGCTGTGCGATAGTTGCCATAAAATATTTAAACAGGCTGCCTTATCTTTGAAATAATTCCAAAAAGTGTAAATAAAACACTCAAAACTCAAAATAGACAGTAAAAGTTAAATGAAAAACAACAAACAGAGATGAAAAAACAAGATGACAGACGTGAAACTAGTTACAGACATAAATGGGTATGACAATGTATTTAAAAAGCCTTAGAACACATTAAGTTATAACGTCAATGATTTGCTATTTATGAAAGACATAAAATGCCAACATAAGCAAAAAGAAAGAGGATTAATAAAACATATGAAAAACATAAATAGCAATATAGTACACAGGACACTTTTATTATGAAGGTAAAATTAAAGCTAACCTTGTTACTAGTATATATATTGGGAGCTGAATGATGTAGCAATACATTTTTTTAAAAATTGTACAAAATAATATTCTATAACATTTTCAAATGTCCTTGAGAAGACGGGTATTGGGCATATATTCCGTCAAGTTTTACTGTTAGTAAAGCTAATGTCATGAGTATACAGGAATGTGGAATAAAATTGATGTCTGTACCTACTCCACGTGGGGTTCATTTTCCACGCCCCACCTCCAGGGGCCAGGTGAACCTTGGGTCAGGACTGCTCGCTTCCTTGGTTGGCGGGGAGGGTCAAGGTCGTGAGCAGGCTGGAGACAGTCCTCCCGCTTGGGGACTGGAGAACATCTGATGAACTGAGACTCACAGCAGACAGGAGCGGCGTGGAGTGGCTGCCGGTTACTCAGACCCAGGAGCAGGCAGGCACGTGGCTGGAGACTCCAGAACCTTCCAGCTGAGAGGGCGCTGGGGGTATAACCAGCTGCTAATGCACAGGGACCTTCTCTATGGTGCTGATGGCTCCTCGCTAGTTAGAAGGTGATAATTAGGCGCCAGGGACACCCACAAGGACTTGGAAACGAGGAAGCGCTGCCCCGGTTCCTAGGGACGCTGCGTCCTTCGCTCTGGGAGGGGGCTGCATCCGCAGTCTGAGTCTGCGGGCTTCTTCCCTCCGTGACATCAGCATCATGTCTGTCACCTTGGGGGTGGTAAGTCAGGGACTCGGCTAGAACAGAGCCCCCACATGTGAACATATCCCAACACGCCATCGCTTCCCTCAGCTCCGTGGTTGTAACTGCATTGCCCACTTCCTGTCGGGGCTGGTACTGTTGCGAAGGTCAGGCAGGAGGCCGTGGAGGCCTGGTGTGGGTCAGGGATGCATCTGTCCTAGAAGAAGCAGAAGAGAGATTGCTGGTATTTTGACTTAGAGGTGCCCGTGGCCTGTTCCGGTTCGGCCCACTGCGGGTCTCTCATTTCTTCTTGATGACACCGACATCCTGTTGCCGAGGCTCCAGGGACAGCCACAGGTCACGCTGCACCCTCACTCTCACCGTCACAAGAATACGTCACGCGCACCCCCTCTTAGATTCTTGTTAGAAATCCGGATGCTCATCTCCTTTCTACTTTTTTTCTCTTTTTTGATTTATTTTTACACCCATCTTTTCAGCATATGTACCACGGGATTCTTCCATTCTTTTCAAATTTGCTTTTGTGCAAAATGGTAAAAAAAAGAAAAACTAGCCCAAAACAACAAACCAACCTGAAACAAGTACTAAAATGCTTCCAGGCCAGATTACTCATGACTCTAATCTGTTAAGACGGAAAGGCCTCTGATGTTAACCCACCGCCCACGGGGAGGCCAGGCCACCGGGGGAGCTGCTGGCCCAGGGCCCCTGAGGCCGGAAGAGCTGGCTCACCCCGACGGGGGCCATGGCTGGCCTGGCTCTGCCCGGCGCGGGGCTCACGGCGCCCTGTCCTCTGTCCCTGCAGGTGGAGATCGAGAAGCTGGACTACCACCACTACCTGCCCCTGTTTTTCGACGGGCTCTGCGAGATGACCTTTCCCTACGAGTTCTTCGCGCGGCAGGGCATCCACGACATGCTGGAGCACGGCGGGAGCAAGATCCTCCCCGTCATCCCGCAGCTCATCATCCCCATCAAAAGTAAGTGGGCGCCACGGCCTCCCGCGGCCCCAGGACCGCATTCGGGCAACTCGCTACTGACGCAACAAGACCACAGACGGAGGCTGTGCCGGGGTGGGGGGATTTTCATAAGCTGGCGCCCGGGGCCACATCCCAGCTCTCCTAGTTGACCCATCGACACATGGGAGGAATAATCACTTATCGCAGGAAACAAGACGTAGCCTGGGAACGTGCCCACCCACTGTCTGTTCCCAGCCACACGGTGTAGGTGGGGCCTGGGTCACTGAGTAATGGGTGTGTCTCTCTTCCCCACACTTCCCTCTTCGCCCTCCATCCTTGAATAGCTCCATCGCCATGAAATCAATCACCAGTCGTTACACTGTCGTGGCCGCATTCCGCTGTTCACTGTCGCTCACACATCTACTCTGACTACGTTGCTTTCCTCCGACAACTTATTTTTCTCAGCTTTGGGAATTGCCTCTCATTTTCTTTACTTAATTTGTATACAGTATGTACTTGGTTGTCAAATATTTCAGAATTTACTGACGTGGAGAGAGCACGTTGGTGTTTGTTCATCTCTGTTCCCTCCTGTGGCTCTTTGTACGAGCAGCAACACTCACTTGTGAGCGGTCTGCTGGGAGGCGCCGCGACCGGCCGCCGTGGGGGTACAGACGCACCCTGACCTGCAAATGGGCCGCACGTAAGGCGGCGGCCTCCCTGGGGCCGCTCTAATGAGCGGGGTCACCGGCTGTGAAGGACGAACGTGCAGACTCTGCTGAGGCGACCTGAGCAATGACATGTTCAGGAGCAGAATCTTCCTGTGAAGAACACCCGAAGGAGAACCACACCCCGCAAGGCTAACATGTCAGAATCCATATCCCACTCCCCAAATTCCTGTGAGCATTTTATTTAATCAGAAAGGAGCAAGTACAATTGAAACGTGCCACCCTTTATTTGTGGTCCAATAATTTTATTTATAGATCTTGAAAATTTCCAGGTAAATTCTTTTAAAAGTGATAATAACTGTAAAAATGGCAATGCCTTTTACTTCAAGAAGAAAATATCCCATTTATTCTGAAAATATGGGGGAAGGTATGCTCCTCTGGATGGTTTTGGTTACAAAATGCAAAAAAAAAAAAAAAAATAGGTTCAAGTTGTCATGAAGAGCTGGTTTGCTTAATAAGCCACACACCCAGCACCCCGGAGAGGGCCTCACCGCAGGCCTGGTGGTGTTGCCACTGTCACTGTTTTCTGCAAGGTCACCTTGAAGCTTGGCCCCAGGAGGCTCAGCGTAGATCCTAGGACCGCCGCTTACTTAGCCCCTGTAGGAAAGAGCGGATTTCCCAGAATCTGCCCCAGAATTTCTGGAGACGGGCAAAGTGTTGCTCTGATCACACCAGCGGGGGCTTCTGCCGAGCTCTGGCCCGTGTTCAAGGGGAAGGGAACGTGCTGACTCCCTTAACCCAGATGGTGTAACTACCCGCAGAGCGGGGGAGGAGGAGGGGCCAGAGGTAGCCTCCCCCGCACAGGAACTCCATGGCAGAGATGCTGCTGCACAGCAGCTCCGTCTGCTCCCGGCGCTTCCGCTGCGCGTGCATGCGGACCCACGGGACTAACTCGGCCGATGGGCTGGGAATGGACGCGATGTGTGCTCTCTTCAACCAAGCACTGGGGGCCCGTGCACAGTCCTCCGCCTCTCCTCGCCTGGCCCCCACGGACCCGACTGGATCTCTACCATGAGTGAAAAAGTGTTCTTCTCCCTGTGAAACCACTGAGGATGAAGGGCCAACCTATCGCTGCAGCAAACTTGGCCCATACTGACCCATCCCGATTCCCAAGTGAGACCCCGTCGCCATTGAGGGAAATGGGTTCTGGACATTCGGTAGCTGGTGCCGAAGCCCATCTTGCTCTGTGCTCCTTGAGAACTGGTGTGGCCCTTGCAAAGGCCCTGGGCCCCGCCTTTCTGTCCATCTCCTTGAGTTCTCATCTCCAAACCAAGGCGATTAACAGGTACTTCAGAGAGTTGTTGAGATCGTTAAGTGAGGTCGTGGAGAGATGCCCAGGTCGGGTGGTCAGCAGCTCTTCATAGGCGATGCGCTGTGCTGCGTATGGGCTGTCAGGGCCAGGTCGGGCTGTGACATCCAGGTAGCCGGTGGTTGCTTTCTCTCTTCTTTCCTCTCTACCCATTTCTCTCACTCGTCATCTACTACCTTCCCACTTTCAATCCCCCTTCAAGAAAGTCAAGATCTAAAATCTGGTGTCACTCCACGTGAATTCCTGCGCAGAAGAACGTGTTAGTAGATGTAAGAGGTAGCAGCCTGAGGCCGAGGTTAGATAGCCTCAGAAGTATTGGAACAGTTGCCTGGTCACTCGCCAGAGGGAAGATTCCTTCTGGGCCTGTGAGGGGGTTGGATGCCCGTATGAATAGGGAAAAGGAGTCAGAGTGATCCAGAACCAAGACGATGGGAATGGAGCTGATGGCTGTTCAAACTAGAAAGGTGTAATCGAGTAAAAGGGAGAAAGAGCTGAAGATAGCAGCATTGCATTTTCCAACTGAATTCACCACGTACCGACTGTCCCTTTCCTGTCCTCAAATAAACAACTGCTCTCGCTCTTCCAGCATGCGTGATGGTCAGGAGCAAGGTCTAAACTCAGACTCCCTGGTCAGAATCCCAGCCGTCTGACCAGTTAGCCACACTGGGGCTCCACGTCTCCATTCATAAAACTGGGACAATAACGTATCCATCCCATGTGTTATTTCGGTGGTTAACGAGCTCATCTCTTTCAAGCTCTTAGCAGACAGAGCACGTGCTGTGTGATAAGTGTTATCACTGTCACTGCTGTTATACATGTAGCCTCATCACCATCGTCCCCACCATCGCCACCTCCGCTTGACCATGGCAGCAGCTTGTAGTCACACCGGCTGAGACCTCATCCTGGGAGTCTCCGTCCTTCCTCGGGAGGGCTGAGCCCCAGCCCAGGGACAAGCTCTACCACAGGTGTCCCTGGCTTTTTCAGAAGATGCCGGCGCACCCAGTCCCGTCACGTTGACGCGCTCCTGAAGGACAGGCTACGTGAGCTCAGCACTCAACCCGTGTCTAGTCCGCTTGCTCAAAGGCCGAGCTACAGTCTGCAGATCTGCACGTTTCTCCTGCCTCGGTCCCAGCCCGGCCCCGGCGCCCCCCAGGGCTTGGAGGGAAGGATGCTGGGAGGAAGTGGAGTCTGGCCACCCTGAGCACAGGCCGTGGGCTCATGCAACCCAGAGCCCAGCTTGCCTTTCACACACATCAAGTCTTTTCTCTCTCAGGGGATCATGAAGCAGCTACCCAATCATGCTGCCAGGATTAGCACCTCCTAACAAGTAGACGGCTGAGCACAGTGCCCATCGAGATGGCAGTAACGGCAACTTATTTTTACCTCTTTGGTGTTCCCTCATGGTCATATCTCCACAGACTGCCTAACTTTGGGTCATCATAGAATGGATAGATTTGTGTTCTGTAACTTTCATCCACGTGACCGTAAAGATTGAGATGGGAAGTGGGCCGGGTCAAGGACAGGCCGCTACGTATCCCTCCAGGGACTCGGCAGGTGGACACCAGACCATCGGCGCCTGTGCGCGGGTCCGACTGATCGCACCATCACAAAGAAAAGGTCTCGCTTTCCGCCCTTCCGCAGCTGGCCTACAGGAGGAGGCTGCTGACCCAGCTGTTTGTGAGCTCCCTTCTGAGTAGGCGCGTTGGCCGTGTGCGCTGAGCTGGCGGCTCACTGCAGGGACCATAATCACCGCTGTGTTCCTGGGAGCTCGCGATCACGGGCTTGATCGGTCCCAGAACTGAGCCCCACACCGACTCAAGCCCGGGGTGTGCACTTGCTCAAGCGCTCTCTGGGGGAGAAAAGGGCCTCTCCTTGGAAATGGGTACATTTGCCCATTTTTCTCTTTTGTAGCAGAGCTCTCAGCCTTCCTGTTCGGTGAGAGCCGGTGTACATCACAACCGTCATAGTTGACTCTGACGTGGCTGCCGCGAGGCGGGGAAGGAGCGTGGGGGTTGCGCTGTTCTTTGGGGTCCTCTGTGTGGGTTCTCATCGGCCGTGTTGGGTCTGAATTGTTGAGACCGTTTAGATAACAGAGTCCTTTCATCCTTAAAACTAAGTCAGTCATGAAAAGAAAGGCCAAACACTCTTACGAAACACTACATTGTGTTCTGTGGTCCTGAAGTCAGAATACGTTCTTGTCTATAAAAAAGGGAGGGAAGGGCGGAGGGAGGGAGGGCATTAACTCCTGTAGTGACAAAGCTCTCATGGAAAATCTGAATTTTGCATTAAGATAGCACCTTTCTGTGTGGGATGAGAGAAAAAGTGATGCTTTTTGATGTGACGCTGCTGGGAAATGAATTAGAGAAAACATCTTAAGCGCTGTCAGAGGCTCACTCCACGTCTGGAAGAGCTGAGCTAAATCTGTGATGTTTTAATTGTCCCCAAATTAACTGTGCACAGCAGTTGAGTTCTGTTCTAAAAGGAGAAAAATGTCCATGATTTTAAAACCTAAATTTGGTCTGAAAACATAGTTTGGTTTATTTTATTCTGTAACTTAATAAATTATATGGTTAGTGCCTCTAAAGTAGCAAAATGTAATTATACTAATATATTGGGCCCATAATCTCAAATATTAATTAAATATTTGAACTTCAGAAAAAAACATACTTAATATACTTTACGACATCTCTAGTAGGCAATTCATAGAGTCAGGAAGTGGGTTAGAGGGTACTAGGCTGGGGGGAGGGAGAAATGGGGAGTTTTTGCTTAATGGATATAGAATTTCTGTTTTGGATGATGGAAAAGTTTTAGAAAAGATAATGTTGATAATTGTACAACATTGTGATTGTAATTAAGGCCACTGAATGGTTAAAGCACAGTGTGTTACATAGATATTTTACACAATAAAATAAAAACAAATTATTTGAGAATAAATAAGAATGATTGGAAAACAAAAATGCCCACTCCCAGCACAACAACACTATGTT